CCGACATCGGTAAACCTCTTTCTACCAGGAAGAAGCCTTTTCCTGAAAGAGCTCTTTGGGAAAAGGCGTGTGTGGACGGGGAAGAGGGAGTGCTTTTGATAGAAGAGGAAAGAAGAAAAAGCACAGGTGCCCTGGTGGCCGCTCCACCCATAGTTATCACAGCTTACACGCGAGATAGCGTCCATTCAGTGTGTTTGTTATCTGTCGAAAAAGAAGATGTCTGTTTTGATGCAGTTTGGCAGTGTGGACGCTCTCTTTCTGAAGAAGATTTTTTCAGAAGATCTCTTCTGGAAACGCTTCTTCTGAAAGAAGCCTGCAGTCCAGACACAGCCCATGTTATTTCCCCTTGCCACCACATTTACAACAATGGGACCGCAAACTTGCACCCTCAGCAAGTTTGCAGATGACACTAAGCTAGGGGGAGAGGTAGATACGCTGGAGGGCAGGGATAGAGTCCAGAACAACCTAGAAAAATTGGAGGATTGGGCCAAAAGAAATCTGACGAGTCAACAAGGACAAGTGCAAAGTCCTGCCCTTGGGACGGAAGAATCCCAAACATTGTTACAGGCTGGGGACCGACTGGCTAAGCAGAAGTTCTGCAGAAAAGGACCTGGGGGTTACAGTGGATGAGAAGCTGGATATGAGTCAACAATGTGCCCTTGTAGCCAAGAAGGCTAATGGCATATTAGGGTGCATTAGGAGGATCATTGCCAGCAGATCCAGAGATGTCATTATTCCCCTTTATTTGGCTCTGGTGAGGCCACATCTGGAGTATTGTGTCCAGTTCTGGGCCCCCCATTATAGAAAGGATGTGGACGCATTGGAGAGGGTCCAGCGGAGGGCGACCAAAATGATTAGGGGACTGGAGCACATGACCTACGAGGAGAGGCTGAGGGATTTGGACTTACGTAGTCTGCAGAAGAGCAGAGTGAGGGGGGATTTGAGAGCAGCCTGCAGCTCCCTGAAAGGAGGTTCCAAAGAGGCTGGGGAGAGGCTGTTCTCAGTGGGGGCAGGTGACAGGACAAGGCGCAATGGTCTCAAGGTGCAGTGGGGGAGGTCTAGGTTGGATATTAGGAGAAACGATTTCCCTAGGCGGGTGAGGAAGCCCCGGGATGGGTTCCCTAGGGAGGGGGTGGAATCTCCATCCCTAGGGGTGTTTAAGTCTCGGCTTGACCAAGCCCTGGCTGGGACGGTTTAGTTGGGTTGGTCCTGCTTTGGGCGGGGGGCTGGACTCGATGACTCCTGAGGTCTCTGCCAGCCCTGAGATTCTGTGAGCCTATGACATGTACCAGCGTGTGTGGCAATCCGTGTAGCAGAGCAGTGTCTGGATGCAAGGGTTAGCTGAGATCCAGCTGGTGCCAGGTGAACACACAATTGACGCAGATGTGCAGTCGTTTGGCACAACTTGCATATTTAGATAAGTCCTTCGTCTGACAGCGAACAGGGCAATGACGACTGACAGTCGGCTAGAACTTACCGTGGCAGGTCCTCTGCTGGTGTAAAGTGTCACAGCTCTGAATGCTGCCATGTCATCTCTCCCTGGCCTTCACTGGAGCTGTGGCAATGGCCACCAGCTGAGATTGGCTCCACTGTCTTTATCTTAATCTGTCTGGTTGGGGAGCATGGCCTAATGGTTACAGCCACAACCCTTGACTACCAAGCAGGTTGTGGGGTGGGGAGGCCAGGTCTTCCTACTCCACTGAGCTCTGACCCAGGGCCCTTTGGGCTACCAGAGGTTTGCCAACCAAGGCTGAGGTAAGGCAGCCTCCTGGGCTACTTCTAGTCCTTTTCCCAGGTCAGATTAGCTCAAGGCCTTTTCTTTTTGGGGAAGTGCAAACCCAACTCAGTTAAGCGGGGTTACCAATCCTGGAGGAACCACTGATGGAGAAGAGGCAGCTATTTCCCTCGCTGATTGTCCACACTGCCAAAGCGCAGCGAAAAAGTGATCTGCTTTTTGACAGATCGCAAACACACTGAATGGACACCAGCTCGCATGTCAGCTGTGATTGCTGTGGACGGAGCGGCCACCAGGGCACCTGTGCTTTTTCCTCTTTCCTTTTCTTCCGAAAGAACTCCTCTTCTCCGGCCACACACGCCTTTTTCCAAAGGAGCTCTTTTGGGAAAAGGCTTCTTCCACGTAGAAAGAGGTTTCCCAATGTCGGAAAACCCCCTCTGGACTTCCGATTTTTTGTCAAAAGAATGCGATTGCAGTGTGGATGTGAGGATTTTTTTTTTGAGAAACAGCTGTTTTCCCGAAAAAGCTCTGCAGTGTAGACATATCCTCAGATAGGTCCCCGTTGGGGAGCCGAGACAGAGTGTTTAAGCTTTGTGCGGCTGGGGCCATGGCACTCGGTCCCGCTCTGTTGCCCGCCTGCGCTAATTCCTTGTCTTCCCAGTCCTCCAGCAGATGGAGCGTTTGCTGCTGGTGTTGCAGGGCAGGCCTGGCTGAGCCCAAAATAATCCCTCACCCCCCTTGTTGCCCTGAGTGGCTGTGTAAACCCTGCCCCACAATCAAAGCTTCTCAAACCATCTAAAGGGGACTGCTAGGCAGAGGACTTGCTCCTGTACAGGAATCCAAAGACCTAAGAGGGGAAAAAGGAAATTTTCCACATGACGTTTTACTTCACAGTCGGGTTTTAATGCTTCCGATGTTTTGTGTGTGTTTATGTAAAAGTTAAAAAGGGTTTGTAAAGTGTTGGTTCAAACTCCAAACCACAACGCACTATTGAACCTGGTGCCATGGTTGTATAAAGCCACCCTGTTCCCAAAGGCCCCTGCTCATCACGCCCACTGGGACTCACGTGGATGGTCGGCTAAAATGGAATCATACTGGTCACAAGTCCGGATGCCGTCTTGCACGTTGGTGACACATTCCCGCCAAAGCCCCCGGCACTTGAGGCTGACCTAGAAAAGGAAGAAGGAAATGAGACACAGCGACACTGAAGCAAAAAGCATCCCATGATCCTTTGGGGCTAGCCTACCCCAAGAAAGTAAAACATGAGCCGCCAGCCGGCGGAGCTTGAAACCCTGCTGCAGTTCACAAGCACAAAACTGGAGACGGAGCAGAAAAGAGCCATGAAAATGCTTTGAGGGCTGAAGAAATCCCTGGCAGCATTAGTCTGAGAGCTCCAGTTATTGAAATGCTCAACAACGAGATTGAGAGGCGACTGGTTATGACGCTCAAGTATCTTCACGGGGAGGAAATGCCAGATTCACAAGGGCTCTTTTATCTAGCAAAGAAAGATGTTCCAAGGCTCAGTGGCTGGAAGTTAAAGTCTGACAAGTGGAAATTAGAAACAAGGCAGAAGCGCTTACCAGCGAGAGGGATTAATGTTTGGAACAAACGACAGGGGAAGGGGTAGGTGTTCTATCTCTTGATGTCCTCAGATCAAGATTGGCTGCTTTTCTGGAAGAAACACCAGGGCTCAACATAGGGGGAACTGGGCAGGCCTGCTGATGGGGAGGGGGAGGCGTAAAGGGGGCAACTGGCCCAGGGCCCGACAATTCAAAAGGGCCTAGAGTAGTAGTGGTGGCAGCGACCAGAGCTTGGGCCCTTTAACTCGCCTCTGGAGTGCCCTCCACAGGCTTGGGAGAGCACACCATGGTCTGGGCGGTGCGGAGGGCTGGGTGCTCCAGCCCTCCCCCTTCCACCCACAGCTCTTCCCCTTCTGGGAAGGCAGAGCCAGCCACCCTCCCCACCACCACCTTGTCCAGGGCCCAGTGCGGCTGTCAGCTCCCCTGAAAATGGGTGAAATTCTGTGGCGGGAGCTTGGCAGAAAGTCCGACTTTTAGTGAATGGCCCCTTCTGGTCTACTGCTCTATTGTCCATGTGGCCCATGCGAAATGCAAGATGGCGTGTGCTGCCTGCCCAGCCCCGCCCCAGCTGTGAGTCATCTTCAGCCTCATGGGCTGCAGCCCGTGGGCAGAGCAGGGGGCGGAAAGAGATGCTATTACTTGCCTCTCGCTTTGCCCACCGTTCCTGGGATGCTGGCTGTGGCAGATTCTCCTGACCAGGGTTAGACTCAGGACTTAGTGATGGAATGGGCCTATCAGGCCAAGACAACTGGGGAGAAGGGAACCCAGGGGGCATGTGACCCTGCCCTGAGCCTGGGGAAGGGCCGGGACAACCCCCCTCCACCCCAGGCTCTGTGTCTCTCTGCCCCTGCTGTCCCCTCAGCGCCGCTGCTCCGCCCTCTCCCTGCCTCTTCTTCCCCCAACCGAGTGGCCAGGGCCATTGGCAGCTGTGAACCATCGGCCCGGTGAGTTCATGGGCTAGCCACAATTCTGGCTACATTGGGGAAGATTCTGTGAATTCAACACTTGTGTTTAACCCCCTGACGTTTCTACCCAGTTCCATGTAAGGCAGGGCTACCAAATCGGCACAGACCGGCTGTGGCCCTGTCCCGGCCTGTGGAGGGGCCTGTGGGCACCACGGCAACTCCATCCTGCAAACAGACCCCCTTTGGCCTTGACACTTCTTGAACAGAAGCATCTCCCGAGTCCCAGCACTGAGCCGTCTCTGCTCACCTCCAGGCTGTCGTCAGCATTGACCATCCAGCAGTCGGTGCAGGTGGCTACGACCAGGAGGAAGGCGGAGAGGAGACCCAGGCCAAAAGCCATCAGCTGGAAAATTGCACCCATCAGGGAGTCTGCAGGACCCAAAGCACAGGGGGTTGATATTGACACATCAGCCTTGAAGAGACATGAAGTTGCCCACCCTAGCCTGGTGCTACAGGGCTTCCCTGTCCCTTTGGGGGGGCAGTGTTTATCATTTCTAAGGTCTGTAGCCCCAAAGTCCTGGAACTCTTTGGGAATTTTCTTCTTGCAGTTGAAATCGGTCATCATCAGCATGATAGGAATATTCAATCATAGACGCGTGCGTGTGTGTGTGTGGTGTGTGCAAATGCACGTGTGTTAATATGCATATGTGGGTGTTTGTACTGGGGTGCTCGTGTACATATTCAGAGGAGACAAGTTCTCACAGCAGAGTTAACTCAGGGGACACAATACTCCGGATGTGGCCTCACCAGTGCTGAATAAAGGAGAATAATGACATCTCTGGATCTGCTGGCAATGCTCCTCTTAATGCAACCTAATATGCCATTAGCCTTCTTGGCCGACAATCTTTGTTCCAGATGTAGAGGTTTACATTTAGTCAACTTTAAATGCCAATTATTTCCTTGTCCCCGGTTTCCCTAGCAATCCAGATCGCTCAAAAGCAGTGACCTGGCTTCATCAGTATTCACCATTTGCCCAGTCTTTGTGCCGTCTGCAAACTTCACCAGTAATAATTCTCTCTTTTCTTCTAAGCCAGCGATAAAAATGTTAAAAAGTGGAAGGCCAAGAACGGATTCCAGGACCCCGCTGGAACACTCCCACACAATGATGATTTCCAATTGACTATTATATTCCATTAGCCAGTTTTGAATCCATTTAATGTGTGCCAGATTGGTTTTTCTCTCTTTCTCCGTTCTTTTAAACAAAAATATCATATGCCACCATGTCAAATGCCTTATAGAAGTCTAAGAATATTACTTGGGCACTGTTACCTTTAGGCTACATCTACACTGGCAGCTTCTTGTGCAAGAATTGTTTTGCGGAAGAGTTCTTGCATAAAAAGTCTTCCCCAAGAGCACATCTACACTGGCATGGGCTTTTGCGCAGGAGATGTGCTTTTGCACAAGAGCGTCTATGGCAGTGTGGACTCTCTCGCACAAGAAAATTCTGATGGCCATTTTAACCATAGGGGCTTCTTGCACAAGAAATTCATGTTGCCTATCTACACTGCCCTCTAGTGGAAGAGCTCTTGCACAAGAGGGCTTATTCCTGGTGGGAAGAAGAATAACTCTTCCGGAAGAAGCTCTGTTTTACATCACTATACTATAAATTTACTTCTGGAAGAACGGCTGTTCTTGCGCAAGAAGCTGCCAGTGTAGAAGTAGCCTTAGTGTCCCAACTTTGGAATCTCAGAGGAAGCGGGTTAGTTGGACAGCCACTGGTTTTCAGACTTTTGCACACAACGTTTCATTTGTTGGGAGCACTGCTGCATTCATGAAATGCATGGGGTTCCCTGTGTGTACAAACTCTTGTTGTGGTGTCCAACATGCTAACCACTAGCCACAGGTGGCTATTTGGCTGGCTGAATGGGGCTAGTTGGTTCACAAAATTATTTACATTTTCAGAATAACATGGCTTGTCTCAGACCCCACGGCTCTATTTGAAGCAAGAAATTCAGGCAGGGCCCTAAGAGAGACCATCAACTGACTGATGGCACAAGCTGCAAGTTCCTCCCAACACACACTGATCCCTCCCTACTGGATGGGGCTGTGATGCTCAGATTAGGTCTGGGATTTGCAAAGCCACCTAGGGGCCTGGATCCATCCATCCCTTTCGGTAGGATATGGACATCCAAGTCCTTTAGGCAACTTGGAACCTCCCCCATCCACACCCCTGGGCTATGTCTACACTGGTGGCTTCTTGCGCAAGAACATCTTGCGCAACAGTTCTTGTGCAAGAAGTCTTGCACAAGAACACGTCCACACTGCCATGTGAGAGATGTGCTTTTGCGCAAGAGCATCCATGGCAGTGTGGAAGCTCTGATGGCAACTTTAGCCATAGGGCTTTCTTGAGCAAGAAACTCCTGCCGCCCGTCCACACTGCCCTCTTGCGCAAGAGAGCTTACACCTATTAGACAAGAGTGTAGCTCTTGCGCAAGAAGCCCTCTCTTACCACGCCGTACTGTAAATCTTCTTGAGCAAGAGTGGGCAGGCAGTGTGGACGCTCTGCAGATTCTTGCACCAGAATGGCCATTGTTGCGCAAGAACCCGTCAGTGTAGACATAGCCCGGGAGTATAAGCCTCAAAGTTTCTAAAATGTGCTAACAGGTCCTGAACGTTCACCGGCGGGGAAGTGACCCAAGGGTGACTCTGTCTGTGGGAAACGGGAGCGTATCTGGAACCGAGCACTGAGGGAGGCACATTATGAAACATGTTCAGTGGCCTTAGGAGGAGAGCTCATTCCAAGCTTCTGAGATCTGTTCAGGGGTCACTTTTGTTCCTACTCCTTCATGACTCATGAGCAGGGTTTGAACCTGGGACATTCCATGCTCCCCCACAGACACTTGGAGCACGTGGTGTTTCTTTGTCATTGGAAGGGACGACATCACTTATCACTCGTGGGGTTCTGGGCTAGACACCAATTCCTGTTGATTTCCCCGACTAGGAGAGTGGATGTCATTATTCCCCTCTATTCGGTGTTAGTGAGGCCACATCTGGAGTATTGTGTCCATTTCTGGGCCCCCCACTACAAAAAAGATGCAGACGCATTGGAGAGGGTCCAGCAGAGGGCAACCAAAATTATTAGGGGCTGGAGCTTATGACTTATGAGGAGAGGCTGAGGGATTTGGGTCTGTTTAGTCTGCAGAAGCAAAGAGTGAGAGGGGATTTGAGAGCAGCCTTCAACTTCCTGAAGGGAGGTTCCAAAGAGGATGGAGAGAGGCTGTTCACAGTAGTGACGAATGGCAGAACAAGGAGCAATGGGCTCAAGCTGTGGTGGGAGAGGTCCAGGTTGTATATTAGGAAAAACTATTTCCCTAGGCGGGTGGTGAAGCACTGGAATGGGTTCCCTAGGGAAGTAGTGGAGTCTCCATCCCTAGAGGTGTTTAAGTCTCGGCTTGACAAAGCCCTGGCCGGGAACCAGGTGGAGCACGCGGCTGTGCACTCACGATGCGCACAGGCATGGCAGCAGAGTGAGAGCCCAGGCCGCTCGGCTCCAGGAGAACGCCCACCCCCCCCCTGGGGGCCCTGCGTGACGCTCCTACCAAAGAATAAGAGCCACAAGCATCTCCCACCGTCCTCCACGCAGCAGACTGCCCTGGTACACATGGACTCCCCTGCCCCCCTGGCTTCTGCTGCATCCCCCAACCCCCCTCAGTGGGCCAGGCATGTTCGTTGCATTAGTATTTCCTGGTAGCCTGTCGGGTCCGTGTTCAGAGCAGATGTTTTAGCGTGACGCTCCTACCAAAGAATAAGAGCCACAAGCATCTCCCACCGTCCTCCACGCAGCAGACTGCCCTGGTACACATGGACTCCCCTGCCCCCCTGGCTTCTGCTGCATCCCCCAACCCCCCTCAGTGGGCCAGGCATGTTCGTTGCATTAGTATTTCCTGGTAGCCTGTCGGGTCCGTGTTCAGAGCAGATGTTTTACATGCTCAGTGCTGTGACCTCCTGGGGCAAAAAATTCCTAAACCCTCAGTACTGAGGCCGCTTTCTAGGCTCCCCGGAGGCAGTCGGATTAACAGACCTGCCAGGGCCAGGCTTTGGCTAACAGGATTAGGTGTTGGGAGGGATAGCGTGTGTGGCGCAGAGCGGGAGAGGCCAGGCCCTGGTGCTGCTACCCTGGATCTGTGGAATGTACAGTGTGTCACCGCCCCGTTAAAGGGATGACCCCTCCGAAATGGGCAGGCCTTGAGGGGCGTTAATCTGCCGGGAGGGCCCAGACACTGGGCGGGGGGAGTCCGCCCTCGCCCAGGACACACAGTCCGAGAGCTGCTGTAAGGAGCAGGCAGAGCAGGCGAGGGAGGTGAGGGGTGGCTGGCTAGGAGCAGTGGGACCATCCTCAGCGGAAGATTTCCCGGGAGAAAGCCGCATCCGATGATGACACGTCCGCGGGGACATGCCAGCGGCACAGTGCGTGGGGAGGGGGTCGGTGAGACTCGGGGTGTAAGCGGCCAGGGCGAAGGCAGACAGTGGGGAGGAGGTTCCCGGGAGGCTACATGCGGCGCTGTGGAGGGAACCGTGCGGTGCAGAAGGATCCTACTGTTGGCTCCTCCAGGTCCTGTTCCTGCTCAGACCAAAGCAGGTTCAGTGTCCGGCCCAGCAGAGAAAAATGTGCACAGAGGGGAGTGCTTCTTGGGGCCTCTTGTGAGAACGTTAACAGGGGCTCAGGGCACCAGGGTTCAATTCCTGCTTGTGCCACACGCTCCTCGTGCGACTTCAGGCAAGTCACTTGGGATCCATCCCACCCCATCCCTGAGGGCAGGGCAGATCAAGGGAGCAACTGCCCCAGGAGCTCCTGGCTGCTGTCGCCATTGCCATAGTAGCAGTGGCGGCCAGAGCCCCGAAGTGTCTGGGGGAGGGGTGGCACCCCAGCTCCACCCCTTCCACCTGAGGCCCCGCCCCTTTCTGGGAGCTGAGAGCAGCCCTCCCCCCCACCCTGCCCATGGCGGCTGTTAGCCCCCCCGGGCGGGGGGGGGGAAC